TGCTCCTTCCCCCCAGCTTCGTCCCAGCACTAACATTCACCTGCGTGGGATCCTGCAGCACCCCAGAGTGGTGCCAGAGCCAGGCCCCCGTCAGGATGGTGCCTGGGGAACTGGGGCAGGGGAAGGTGCCCAGCCTCAGCACGCACCTGTGTGCCCGTTGTTGGTCAGCCTCCACTTGCCAGGGGGAGCCTGGTCGTAGCCCTCGAAGAGGATGTCCCCGAGGCCACCATCCCGCTGCAGCCGGCGCCTGTCGATGTTCACAGGGGACTGCCTGTTGCCACCACATGTGGCTTTCAGCTCCTTCCAGTGGCTGGGCCCTGCAGAGGAGGAGCAGGGGCACCACGGGCAGCCACCAAACCACCACTGCCCCAGAAGGGGACACAAGCCCACGAGTGGCTCTGTCCCCAACCAGCTCTGCTGTCCCTGCCAGCCTGGCCTTGCATCCCATGGGAACTGCTCTCCTGCCCGGCTAAGTTTCCTTCCTATTGATGAGCAGGGGCTTATTGCAGCCTCATCCATAATTCAGCAGGATTTCCTCGAGGGGCTGGGGCCTATATTTAGCCTGGCAGCAGCGTCCACATTGACGCTGGTGAAGGGCAGGCTTTTCTTGCTGTCCCTTCTGCCTGTTGTGACACGTTCAACCTACTCACACTGGTTCTGTCCAGCTGTGACAGGTGACAATGCAACCTGGCCACACAACTCATCCTGGGGCAAATCCTACACATGTTCCAGAGTGACCACACGATGCCCATCAGCAGCTCCTGGGGTGAGGGGGTCACCTTGGCAGGAGCTGGGTGAGGACACAGCAGTGCTGGCAGCTGACTGCACCCACTGCAAACCCACAGTGCTGCCTGGGGGCTCTGAGCAGGGTCCCCATGGCTGCCACCACGGCCAGACCACACAACCAACCCCTATATGTGACTGGCCCCCATTGCCCCATCATCACCTCTTCTTGTAACCCTCGTGGCAGCCCACAGCTGTAGGATGCAGCCAGCCATCCACCCTGCTGTTCACTGCTCCATGTGGCTGCCATGGCACCCACTCTCCTGGTGCAGCCCAGGACTGAGGTGTCAGCCCTGGGCACTGCCAGTATCTGTACTCAGTCCCAGCTGGGGAGCAGGAGCTCCCTCAGTGTCTCCAGCCCTGTCCTCCCAGGGCATCTCCATTCCCAGGGGAGCTCAGTGCATCCCAGCAGGCACTGCTGGCTCTCCTCACACACACATCATGGCTTTGCCTACAGCCAGGGTTTGGGGAACTGTTCCCCAAGCAGTGCCCCATAGCTCAGCTCTGACATTCACTTCCTCTTGGGCAGACAAAACCACAGACACTGGTGGGCTGCATCCCACCTCCTGCCCCCTGGGCTCAGCCCTTACCCTTTTTGTTCTCCACTCGTTACTCCAGGCAACTTTTTGCCTGGCAGCCCTGGGAGCTGCAGCCTGGCCGTGCCACCATCCCAGCGGGTTCCTGGCACGGTGTAACTGGGCAGCCCCACAGGTTCCCAGGTGCCTTCAGTGAGGGGGGACATTCCCCATGGCTCTGCTGCAGGCACACAGCCGGCTCCACGTGGCTCCAGCCGCTTCCCACCGGCCCCTCTGCCCTGCCAAAACCTGCCCAGCAGCGTTGAACCGGGTGAGACCGAGCCCAGCAATCCAGGCTCAGCAGCCACCGGGCATGGAAACCCAAGAGCTATAAAACAGCTGGGCCGTAACAGCTGATTAAATGCTTGATGATCTTTAATTAACCTTTTACAAGCTATTTGTAATTTGTATTTATGTGTTTTGAGACAAAGTGCCCCCAGCCATGCTTCCCTCCCCATCCAGGCAGGGCTGCTCAAAGGGAGCTGTCCCTCCTCAGGCGGGCCCCTGGACCCTCAGGCCCCAATGCTGCCTACTCTGCATGGGGATTCTAATAGAGTCCTTTAAAGCCTGGACTTAATTTGTTTCAGGTGGAAGGGGGAAAGCTGGTGCTGTCCCAGGAGCACCTGGACCTGGCTGAGGTGAGGGCTGGGGCTGACTTGCTCCAAGGAGCTCAGGTGTTTGTCAAGTCCCAACAGCAACATCCCCGAAAGTGAAGCTCCTCTAACCATTCCCATGGGGGGATTTACCCTTTTCCATGCCTCACTGCCCCTGGGCCTTGCTGATGCTGCCCAGGGCGCTCTCAGCTGGGCACTGTGGGGGGACATGAGGGTCTGAGCCCTGCCCAGCCCCAACACAGCCACACTTGGCTCCACTCACCGCATCGGGGGTCCTGTGAGTCATAACACCAATGCCCTGCAGGAGAAAGGAGAGCTCAGGGCAGGTGATGGAGACAGGCACCCTTTCTCAAACCCACCTATGGCCATGCCCAACCCCCCGACAATGAGGACATCCCCCAGTGCAGCCCGGGGTCCCGCCAACACTTGTGTTCATCACGGTTATTTTTGGCGCTTGTGTTTTCACACCCTCCCTGCCTCCCCCACACGCTTCACAGGGAAACCTCCCTCAGTATCGCTGCTCCAAGGCAGCCAAACCTCCTGCTCACTGTGCTCCTTCCCCAGCTCTCAAGGAGCCATCCCCCCTTCTCCATCCTGGGCAACCAAGGCTCACCCCACAGCAGGGGCGAGCGGGAGCCG